ATCCCTTTGGTCTTTGTAGTGCTTGCTAACAGTCGGATCTGGGACATAGCTTCCATTTGCCTTGTAAGGAGCGCAGCTGAGAATGTCAAAACCGTTTTTCACAACAACCTTCCTTTGACCTGGGTGACAGCTTTACCACCAGGCATTTGATCTCTTACTTGCCCATCTGTTCATTGATTAAAATCCCACACTTCAATATGCAATTCCGTCTCTGCAACCAGGCATTTCTCCTGCCAATAAGACCCTTAAGCAGACAACGTGCCTTTCCCAAGCGATGCTCGCAAGCAGATCACAGCATTCTTTAGCGTCTCAGGCTAACCCAACAGCTCAGGGGCAGCCAGCTGCCAGCAAGCTCCTCCAACATTGCCAAAGAGTACAAGAAAGAGATGAAACTGGGACTAGAGGGGGACAAAAAGCCCACTAGCACACACAGCACGCCAATGCTCTCGGAGGACGCTGGCCTGCAGTGCACCATCTCCAGGCTCTGCAGTACAACTGGCAGGAGCAGAGGCTGGGCGGGGGGAGGCAGACAAGTCCTCCCTTCCGCAACGATATTTTTTCTTTTTAACATGTTGCTCAGGAAAGCCAGAAAGAAATAACACTAAAGTTTGTTTTGTCACCTCCCATAAATTTGGGAGATGCAAGATTATCACAAGGTTCAGCCTAATAGCTACTATCAGATGCAGCACTATGCAAGCTTTATAGAAATGTAAGATCTATACTGCCAGCGACAGCTATACCCATCAGGAAGAGATCCTAAAAGCAGAGCATACAAAAGCAATTTTCACCCAGCACAAACACTTCCAAAGGCAAACCAGAGCCTTTCTCAACCTTAAAACGTTTTTCACGATCACTGCCTCTGAAAGCAGAGAGGTATAAAGGTCCAGGGAAGAGACTGCAACACACGGGGAGGTTTCTACTGAGCAGCAAAATGAGTCACTGCCATCTACTGGCTGCAGGGATCCTTTCGCTTCCAGATTCACTGAATTTGGCCTCAAATATTATCAAGCAATAATAACCACCAGCCTCTTCCATGTCATCTCCAGTGACAACTGTAACACTTCTAGCATATATCTGCACTGGCTGTAGCCAAGTTTCAAATGCAGATTCCTCCTAGAGGCCGAGCGCGCTGACCAAACCGTTCTGCACTGCCGCTGGAACTGTGACTCCAGGCGCTGTCACTGCCCAGCGAGGAACCGCTGGGCCATCCACAGCCCCGGCGCGAGGCTGCCGCTGCCGGACGACACTCGTGCGAGCAGGCTGGGCCGAGCATGCAGAGATACAGGAGCGCTCTCCGGATCAGGACGGCCCACGGCCCGGCAGCAGACCTGTGTCTGTGGTCCCACCCTTTGCTTATGGGCTACAGTGTTTCACGGCTCTTACCTCCTTAAAATCTACTAAAGATGGGATCTCTTTGCTATTCCAAACAAAATCATAAATAATTGCAATGCACAATGTACCAGCAATGGCAATCTGTGAGCTGGCACTGATCTGCACCGAGGAAGTGTTACATAAATGCTAGAATTTATGTATTTATGTTTATGTAATTTATGAAGAATCAGCAGCACTAATGACTTTCCTGAGGGACAGCAAGGCATCAGACAGGCTCAAAAAAAGCACCTTTTCCAAGGCTACTGAGGGGCATCAAAACCAGGATTAGATGCCAGGAATTCCTGGCTACCAGTGCTGCTCTCTTCCGTTACATCACAGCCTAAATGCTCTTCTCACCATTTTTAAAAGAAAAATACACCATTTCTCTATAATCTTTCTGTAATTATGCTTGGGTGCCATATCATTGGCATTGAGGGAAATACACGTTTCTGTTGCAGCTGTCTCTTGAAGGGCAGCTAGAGTTGCTCATCCTTCAAATGCTTATTCCAAAAACTTATCCCTCTGCATTAACAGGCTCTGGCAGGCTCCGGATGGCTAGAGGACATGGCAATTTCATGCCGCAGGAATTGCCGTGGGCTCCAGTTGCTGCTGAGTGGTCTCAGAGCTGAGGTGCTGTCAGTCGCTTTTTAGGGACGCTGCTTGAACTGATTTCATCAAGCTGCTCTTGTCAATCCCGGTAAAATTAATAAACATCTGAGAGCACCCCAGCACTGAGAGTGGTGACTGCTTTTCCCACTGTTGCCTGAAAACAAGACAGACAAGGAAGACTCTCTCTGGGCATCCAACTCTTACATGGTAAAACATGAGATTTTTTTCACAGGGAGCATGGTCAAACCCCGGAGGGGCCCAGAGAGGGTGAGGAATCACTGCCCTTGGAGATCATCAGAAAGTGGCTGGCCACAGTTAGCAACCTGGCCTAACTTTAAAGCTGGGTCTCTGCACAGTTGGTCCTGCTTTTAGTGAAGGGTTGGACCAGATGACCTTCAGAATTCCTTCCAAACTGAATTATTCTGCAAGCCTGTAATCCTAAAAACCTCCATATAACATGACAGCAGCCCTAATTCTGAGCTGACATAGAAGACGCAGCACAGCCTAGGAGCAGCACAAAGCCAACCTGGATCGCACCGTTGAGGTCATTGCTCTAAACTTAGAGGAGAGGTTCCTCTTAGTGCTCTTACCTGAGGGCTGGCAGCGAGTTCCTCGGTCGTTCGGGCACAAAGGCAGCTTGTTTCCCGTTCTTGGAAGTCCACCATCTGAACAGACGTCATGGAAAAAGTAGTTCTGAAAGGTCTGTGTTCCAGTTGCCATTCAGGAAAAGGGGTCTTGGTCCTCCATTTTGGTAGGGGCAGCAATTCACTAGCATGCATTCCCAACTGGAGGGAGGGAAGAAGCAAGGCTTTGAGGAGCACCACCAGAGAAAGAGTCCTATATCTGTGCTCCGATCATCAGGAAGGATCTTGGAGCCGGCTCCTTTCCCAAGCTTTGCGATAGACAGGTACACATGCAGGCTTCAGGGATGATGAACGTTCTGCTGAGGGAGCATCATGCCAGCTTTTGCCATCGCCAACACAGGTTTGCCTTAATTAGCTCTGAGTAAGTGTCCAGCTTCTGCAGGGAAACTGCTCTAGCATTTAATATCCCTCTCAATTACTCTTAGCAACTTAACTCTTCTGCCTTTGTATATTATGGCCACCCTTTTCTCCTCTTTCCCACTAAACACACCAGTTTCTTTAAACTTTCCTTGCAAGTCACGTTTTCTAGAGCTCGTGGCATTCTGGTAATTTCCTGCACTTTCTTCAGTCTCCAGTGCAGTACCCAAAGCTGGACAGAGTGAATTAACTTCATCTGCCTTTCCTACACTCCTCACCCACAGCCTCTAGAAGGGCAGTCACTTTTTTGGCACGGCAGCATGAACCCACCATCCATTTCTGAGCCATTATAAGCCCTGGATATTCTGCACCAACTTCCCCCAACTCCTGCCCTGACTTCACCTTCCCAACAGCAGTACTTGTCTTTCTTCCATGTTGTATTTGTTTGAGAAACAAACAATTGCTTCATTTTATCAAGACTGTTCAAGTTTGCCTCTTCCCTCCCCCAAGTCCTGTCCCATTGGCACGTCTTAGATACGTTCTTCTCTCCTTCACCCAAGCGAGCCCTAAAACACTAACCACGAGCAAAGAGATGCAGGCAGACTCTCCCAGTGAAATACTACCCTAGAGCAACAGAGAGCGGTACAGCTGAAGAGTGCAGCAGTATTATTAGAGAGAAATGCAGTATATACTGCCTGCAAAGGAGCAACCTGGACACGTTGCCTTCAGCGTTCATCTGCACGCTCCATGCGGGATAGCGCCAAGGCCGTGCTACTTGTGAGCTGTATTTGCTGCAGCCCCTTTTGCACTACTGTCAGTTACGCAGAAGAAACTGAGATTGAATGGCCACGATTGGTTTCTGACAACCCAGATGATTCCTTCTTCTGCTAGCGATGCTTCACTGCGCAAGCAGCCGGAAGGAGACTGTCCGGCATCACGCTGGGCACCGAATTATCTGCAACCCCCCAAAACGCGTCCTTCTCCGCCAGCAACACTGCCAGGCCCTCGTGCCTGGCGT